CACTTGTTTTTCTATTCAAAATATCAATTATTAAGAGTAAAAAGTTTAACATAATTAACAACCATGTGACTGATCATTCATATTTAATGAATTTAACCATTCCATGTCCTTTTTTTTTTTTGGTAAGGGGAAAAAACCACCTCATTTGAAGCTTCCTCCTGGTGTCTGACTCTTTCCTTCTTTATTGCTTTCCTTTTTTTTTTTTTTTTTTTGGTAAGGGCCTTGAAGGAGCTCTGGTGTATGCAACGAGCTGCTAACCACCACAAGGTCAGTGGTTTGAATCCACCAGTAGCTCAGAGAAAGAAAGATGAGGCGTTCGGCTCCTGAAAAAGTGCCGTCTCGGAAAACCACCGAGGGCAATTCCACTCTGTCCTACAGGGTTGTTATGATTGGCATTACCTTGATGGCAGTGGGTTTGAGTTTGGGTTGGAAGAGCTTTGAACGAGCAAAAGTTCTTGGAGCCCAGGGCCTCGAGCTCAGTCCCGGTGCTGACCTAATGAACTGTATGATTTTAAGAGGAGCGCTTATTCTCTTGGGCCTCAATCTACCCATCTGGAAATTGGACTCCTAAGACTTCTTGAAATTCTGATGGTTTATGCTTCTTAGTAAGATAGTAGATGAGGGTGGAAGGCATGATTTTTAAAAAATTGGGGGTGCTAAGAGTCTCCCATCCCTTGGTGCAGCAAGGGCAGCCCCTCCCCCTGGCAGAGGCAGCAGGTAGCGCAGCAGTTCCAAACTCCCATGTCCTGAACAAATTGGGTTCATGCCATGCAGACTGCATTAGAATTGCCTGGTGGCTCAGAATACAGATATCTCAAACCTAAACCCAGGATGGCCCAAACCAAACTCCCAAGACCATGTAGGTGTAAAAAGCCTCATCTTTCTCCCACAGAGCGGCTGGTAGTTTCCAACTGCCTACCTTGTGGTTAGCAGCCCATTACACCACCAAGGCTCTCGATAGGCTAGTTTGTAGGTCTAGATGAGAGCCTGGAGTACCTTAGCCTTTGGAAACCCAGTAAGCCTTTGTGAAACCTAGGTTTGGGAGACATAGGAGTAGATGATTCTGATGGCTCCTTTCAGCCCTCTGTCTGTTGTTTTAGAAATTATTAAAGAGAAAACAATAGCAAACACACGACCATCAAGTCTTGACGACAAAGTGACCCTACAGAAAAGGGTTAAATTGCTCCAGGGTTTCTGAGACTGCAAATCCGTATGGGAGTAGACGGCCTCATTCTTCTTCCAGAGTGGCCAATGGGTTTGAACCCCTCACTGTGTGACACTGCCAGGGCTCCTTCCACAAATTATAAGAGGAAGGAAATGCCATCTCAGACATGTCTTAGGCCAGGTGTACATTTCCGGTGGCTGTAACAGATGAAGAGGTCACACCTTGATCAACTCATCTCTGACTTGGTTACTTAGCAGTGAGGAGGAGACAGGCAGCAAAGACAGCTTAGTGAATGCAGGGCTTTTAAAACTCATGTCTCATCTTGTTTACAAAACTTCGGACACAGCTATGTAATTCCACATCTTTGTTTATTCTGCTAGCCCCACAGTCCAGAAGCAACTCGAGATTTATGTTTCCTCTTCCAGGCCTGAAGAGCCCAATTATTTTATAGCCAAGTACTTTCTGGTGAATGCGGGCTTTTTCCAGGAACAAGTTATTTTATTCCTGTCACCAGATCGTCTGGCTGTGTTTTCTCCTCCGGTCTATGTCACCCGTCCAGAAGTGAGCATGGTGGAGGACGGCTCGAGAGGTGGGCTTACCTGGGTTGGACTTTGCCATCTGAGATGAGAATTGCAAGGGAGCAGAGGGCATTTGGAAGGGGGCAGTTAAAATCCTGGTCCCTGGACTCTATGCTGGGTGTCTCAGTCCACACTCCCTGGAGAAAGAAGACCAATGAGACCAGATAAACAGTGTGATAGATTGATAGGTAGATATTTACTTCAAGGAATTGCCTCACCTAGTTGTGGAGGGCTGGTGAGCCCAAAGTCCATAAATTAGGCAAAATCCCTCAGGTTTACATCCATAAATCAGGCAACAGGAAGAGTGTGAGTTCTGCCAAAATAGCTCTTTATAACCTGGAGGCAGAACACCCTGCAGGGAAAGTCCCATTTTGCTCCAAAGGCCCAGAGGGAGGGACGGTATTAGATTACATGATGGAAGGTAATCTGCTTCCACCCCTGCTCCCTAACAGCAGCCAGACTAGAGTCCCGCTGACACACAAAATCAGCCCTCCCTCTGGGCCGGAGGGCAGGAGTCGCGTGAAGGAGTTGAAAGACGATGAAAAGTTAGCGGATCGATGGGTTTTGAGTCTGATGGGACTGGGATTCTAGAAGGCACACACTGGGACGATGGAGGCATGGTGGAGAGTCAGGAGAGGGTGTGATGGCTGGTAAAGGCAAGGTCTGAGTTAAGAGCGTGAGAGAGGGGCCGAGGCTGGCTAAAAAAAAGTCATTGGACAGAAGCGATAAAGGAACCAAGTGGCCAAGAGTCCTGGAAGGGTCATCTCTGGATACTGAAATCACCAAGAATTATGATGGGGGAGCATCTGAGAGCAAAAAGAAACAGGTGTGAAAAAGTACAAGCAGTCACATCTCCGGGAGTTAGGCGACCTATATGAAATTGTGCTTGGTTGGCGTCTCCAGGTGGCGAAAATGGTTCATGTCCTCAGCTGCTAGCCAAACAGCTGGAAGTTTGAGCCCACCCAGAGACACTGCAGAAGAGAGGCCTGGTGACCTACTTTTGATCAATCCGTCCTGGAAAACCTAACAGAATATCCTTCTCCTCGGACACACATGGGGTCAACTCAATGGCCCCTGGTTTTCAAAAACTGGTTTAAGGAATGTGAGAGGTCTTTTATTTAATATATTTGAATTGTATCTGCATCAGTCTAGTGTTTCTAGTGTAGGCACTCTGATAGTATCATCTGGTTAATTCATTCAAATTATGATTTGGGAGAATATTTAAAAACAGCAACAAATGCACAAACCCAGAGCAAAATAACTCCTGATGTAGTGACGGTCGAATAGGACGGCCACCCTGCTCTGTGGGTGAGCTGGGGACGCTGCAGCCGATCCCAGAAGGGGTTCCCCTTCAGGAAGCCTCATGTTCAAGGTCTCCTTGGAGGTTGACCTTCTGCCTCTGTGTAGCAGTGGTTGGGCTGTGGTCATAACTCCAGGGAGAGTTCCCCAAGGGACCTGCCAAAATTTCCAGCCTGGCTTGCCATTGGCCTCTTCTCCACCTCCAAGCTCAGGTCAATCAAGGGTCCTTTTAGAGCATCTTAGTGGGGACACCTGTCCTGTTTCTTACAGTCTGGGTGGATTCCAAACAATATGAACTAAACAACAAAAAAAGAAAACAAATTTTAAAATATTTTTTAAAGATTAAAATAATGACCCAACTGGTGAGAAGCTTTGATGTACGTGTCTTTGCTTGTCAGGCTCAACCCATTCCCAACCGACCCCCAAGCCATCCTTCAGCTCAGAGTGGCAAAGCTGCCAGACAGCGGTTCTAGATTGAATGATTGCCATTGTCCTGACACAGCCCAGGGAAGACGCTGGCATCGAAATGGAACTTCATTTAGGCTTTCTCTTTTCTGAAGGATTTGTTGTTACATCTCTTCTCCTTTCATCAGGAAAGGCATTTCATAGAGTAAATGGGTGGAAAGAGTAGAATCAATGAAGTCTTGCTTCTGATTGACTAGATTTTTGTGCCCCAAAGTTGAACCTCATCTGTGATCTGTGCCCCAAATACCCCTTTCTCACAGCTATGTAATGCCATGCTTAAAATCACCCTCCACTCCAGCAGGCAACCTCCGAAGCTGGTTGCTTTTGAATCTGAGGCAGGCTAGGTAATAGGCACTATTGGGTTGCTAACCACCAGGTCAGTAGTTCCAAATCACCAGCTGCTTCAAGGTGGAAAAGTGAGGCTTTCTATTCCCCTAAAGAGTTCTGGTCTCGGAAACTCACAGGGGCAGTTCTACCCTGTCCTATAAGGCTGCTATGAGTCAGCATCAACACAGAGGCAGTCAGTCTGAGTTTTGAGTGAGAAGCATATGAGAAAATAATTTTCATTAAAGCAGCCTAAGTAATATATCACGATGATCACACTCTCTTGGCCTGAGCAGAACATTTGTTTCCACTGCCTAAGAAAAAGCAATTGGCCAAGGAAGTGTAACCTGTTGTTGTGGAGTAAGTTTTAACTCAGGATGACTCTATGTGTGTCCGAGCAGAATTGGCCTCTGTAGGATAGGCTGTTTTTATTTGTTTGTTTGTTTGTTTGTTTGTTTAAGTAAACCATGAGGACTTGCTTCTGAGCTGCCTCTGAGTAGACTTGAACCTCCAACCTTTTGATTGTGATACCCAAGGACTCTCAAGCATAGAGAGTAGGTTTGCTATGAGTCTGCTAAAGAGACACAAGCGGGTAGCACTCTTTTGGGTAATGTAACTTACCACATGTGCTCCAGAGTGCTAATTTCAAATGCTCTTTCTCAATACATAAAGCGGGTTGCGTGACCTTCCTGTTGGGCTGGCCTGCTGCCCGTCTCCTGAGCTAGTGTGCTTTCTTTCAGGGTAAATGGAATAAGGGCTTGCTCTGTCTCTTCCGGAACCTCACGTCCAACGTGGACGGCCTTTTCTGTTGCTAGCACTTAGCAAGACAAACATTGGTTTGTTGTTGAAACGGCAATCGATTAGAGAACATATGTTTCAGTGGAGCTTGACGGCTTGGAAACTAGGCCAAATTGAGAAAGCAGTTGGGAAAAAGACTCTCAGCCCAGATGTTTTCAATAATTTCTTTGTTCCCTGCAACGTGTCTGAGGCTCCCTCGCTTTGAGCCCCCACCTGCCAGCCATCACCCAGAGACATTCAGGGAGGCACTGGAAGTCAGGACATCAGTCCCATGTCCTCCGACCCTCCTCTTGGTTTTCTCATCTTGCCAATGGGAGGGTTTTATCCCAAGTCTGCTCGCATCCTGAAAGGCCTGGGACGCATTGTTTTCCTGGTTCATTGGAAGAAGGAAAGAAAGGGAGGCTGAACCTGTGTGGAGCACCTGGATTACTTCCTTGAATTTACCTGTGGCAACCTGCGTATTGAGTGTCAGTACATTTCCTTTAGAAGTGGGAAGGAGGCTTGGCCCTTTGCTAAATCACACACAGAGAGCATGTCACTTGGAAGGCAAACCCAGTTTCATCTGACCCCACTGGCCCATGGTCTCCTAACAGGAGCCATGGGACAAGTGTTTCTGGTTTTGTTTTCAGGGCCATGTGTGAATAGTGCTATTTTTAAAAACCTGCCGCACTTTGCACACGGGATTCTTAGCCTAGGGCAAGACCAGTAGAGGAGCAGGAGGTGAGCAGATTCCCCGACTGCCCCGCAGCCCAGCTGTCCCTTGCCTTCGAATGTAAAGATTCATGGGTTGGTATGAACTGAGTCAGCAGAGGGGAAGTATCAGGAAGTGAGAGGAGAAGTGACTTGGGAGTTAGGGACCAGGGTCCTGACCTCGGGTGTTTGTTCTAACATCCAGGAGTTGTCCTCCTTGGGCCAGAGCTCTGCGTCTGTGAAATGGGCATATTTAATACAGTAACCAAAGACCAGATGAGTTGTGGGATGACATCAAGAACATCATACATGAAGAAAGCTTTGGGCATTAAAACGACGCAAGAGAAAGAAAAGATCAAAATGAATGTCAGTGGGAACGCTGAAACTTGCTCTGGAACATAGAGTAGTTAAGAAAATGGAGGCAATGGTTATGAGAAAGAGCTACTAGGAAATGTTCAAAGGGCAGTTCCAGGAGTAAAGCATTACAGTGAAATGTACAAAGACGTGGAGTTAGAAAGCCAAAGGGAAGGGCATGCATGGCATTTCTGAAGCTGAAAGAACTGAAGTCTCAAGTTGCAATACTGAAGGATCCTATGGGCAAAATAATGAACAATGCAGGAAGCATCACAAGCAGGTGGAAGGAATACACAGAGACACTGTACCAGACAGAGCTGGTTGGTGCTCAGTCAGTCCCGAAGATGACACATAATCAAGAACTGCTTGAAGGAAGATGTTCAAACTGCACGAAAGGCACTGGCAAAACACAAAGCTCCAGAAGTTGGCAGGATATCACTTGAAATGTTTCATCAAACTGACACAAGGCTGGAGGTGCTCACTGGTCCATGCCAAGAAATCTGAAGGAGAGCTGCCTGGGCAATCGTCTGGAAGAGATCCATATCTGCGCCCATTCCAAGTCAGGTGACTCAACAGAATGCAGAAGTTATCAAACAATATGATTAATATCACACACAAGGAAACTTTCACTGAAGATTGCTTTAAAAAATGGTTTCAGTAATACAAAGATGGGAAAATGCCAGAAAGTCAAGTTGGGTTCAGAAGAAAATGTCCAATTAGGGGTATAATTGCTGATGTCAGATGGATCTAACTCGAAGCAGAGAATACCAGAAAGAGTTTCCCGTGCTTTATTGACTAAACAAAGGCATTTGATTATGTGGATCAGACACTATGGGCAACACTGTGGACAATAGGAATTCCAGAACTCTTCATTTTGCTCATGTGGAACATAGATTGACACAGAGGCAGTAGTCTGAACGGGACAAAAGGATGGTTAATGGTTTAGCATCAAGAAAGATATGCTTCAGGGTTGTATCTTTCATCATACTTATACAATCTGTATGCTGATCAAGTAATCTAAGAAGCTGGGCGAGATGAAAAAGAATGTGGCATTAGGATTGGAAGACTTATTAACAACTTGTGATATGCAGATGACACAACTCTGCTTGATGAAAGTGGAGAGGAGTTGATGAGATTGGGCACATTCAGAGTGATATGGCTGTAGCCAGTGAAGAGGACTTGAAGCACTTATTAATGAAGACCAAAGGCTACAGCCTTCAGTAAGGATTATACCCCAACAAGCAGAAAACAAAAGCACCATTGGACCAATAAAATTATGATCAACAGAGAAGATCAAAATTGTCAAAGATTTCATCTTAATTGGACCCCCATCAATGCTGATGAAAGTAGCAATCAAGAAATCAAGCAATGGGTTGCATTGGGTAAATCTGCTGCAATAGACTTCCTTAAAGTGTTCAAGAAAGAAGATGTTACTTGGAAGACCATGGCATGCCTGATTGTCTTCAATCACCTTGTAAGTAAGTAAAGATAGATAATAAGGAACAAAATGGACCGAAGAGGGCTAAAGGCTATGGTGTTTATGGAGAATATTAAACACAGCACGAACTACCAGAAGAAACAAATCTGTATTAGAAGAAGTACAGTTGACATCCTCCTTAAAATCAAGGATTGCAAGACCTTGTGTCACTGACCTTGGACCTAGATAAGGACCTCCTGTTTGATCAGTAAGGTGGAGGGTCAACGGGAAAGAGGAGCACCCTCCATGAGGTGGCACTCATAATGGGTTTAGCATAACAATGACTGTGAGAATGGTACAGGCTGTTATGCATAGGGCCTCTATGAGTCAGAACCATCTCCGCACCATCCATCAACAACATCTACATCCCTGAAGCATTGGGAGTCAAGGGAGGAAATGTAGATATGCAAATGCCACAAGAACCTTTAAACCTTCTATTGTAGGATAGCTGCTCAGCTTTCCAGGAAGGGTTAGAGTGGAGCCTAAGGAGGTTCAGTATTAAATAATCACCATCATCGTTACCATTTTTGAGTGTCCACTGTGGGCCAAACCATAAACTAGGCGCATGATATAACATCTCTAACCCACACCCGCCCATTCACGTTTTGTCCTTCCCACTTTACTGATGAAAGGAAGGGACTTAGACCAAGATCATACATATGGGCCAGTGGTGACGCCAGAACCCAAACCCAGTTTCACATCCAAAGTGCATGTGCTTTCTGCTATTGCCATGTAGCTTCGGGGCTTTAAGTGGGATTTCTATCTTTATCATGTTTCATCTCCCGCATTCCTGAATCCCATCAGCTGCTTACTCTGGCAAGGGGATCCAGATGCCCTCAAACCACATGTCTATGCAATACCTTAACATAATCAAGATGGATTGCTGGCATCAAGGGTATAGGTAAAGGCAAACCAGGCAAACGAACAGGAAGTAAGCAGACCCGTCCGTGTAAATCATGGATGCCGCCAGAGACTCAACCTCCCTTTGATGTGTCCCTTGTTTTCTTTATTCTCTCCCCACTTCAGGGCCCATCTGGTTGGACAATCTCCACTGCACTGGCAAGGAGGCCACTCTGGCAGCCTGCTCTTCAAACGGCTGGGGTGTCACCGACTGCAAGCACACAGAAGACGTGGGTGTGGTGTGCAGTGACAAAAGAATTCCTGGGTTCAAATTCGACAATTCGTTGATGAACCACGTAGAGGCAAGTGCTCTGCTCTTGATGCCTCCTTCATTGAGCATTTTTCTTCTTCCAGGCAACTCACTTCTCCCTTGCTGATTCAAGCAGTGCTTTCCGAGCACTGGGAAGGGCGACCTCACCTGACTGGACTGAGTGTGGGGATCGTGCAGAGGAGGGTTTATGGAGAAGGGGATACCTGAGATGCACCAGTGGGGAAAGGGCATTCCAGGCACAGAGAAGAGCGTGGGCAAAGAGACAGAGGTACAAAGATAGGAATCAGGGATAAGCCTGGAAGTGCCGTTCAAGAATAAGGTATGGAACCGAGAGTGTGCGCAAAACGCTGCTGAAGAGGGGGCCTGAGGGGTCTTTTGCTCCAAATCCAGGAACTTGCCGTTTGGAGTGGGAAACTGTGTGACCTATCAGATGCTGCATAACACATTACTCCCAAAGTCTGCAGCCGAAAACAACAAACCTATGTTCTCTCATGAAGTTGCCAAGGGTCAGAAATCAGGAGTGGCTTAGCTGGGTGAGTCTGGTCCCTCTCAGAGGTTGCAGCTGGTGGGTGATGAAGGGTCTCTTGCAAGCGCACACATCAGGTTGTTGGCAGGCTTACTTCTTTGCTGACAGGTGACCAGAATCCTCAGTTCCTCTCCCCATGGGTCTGTCCGTAGGCTGCCGTTGTGTCCTCCAGCTGCGGCAGCTGTCTTCCTCCAGAGTGAGGGATGGAAGAAAGACAGAGAGACAGAGAGAAACATGAATGCCGCGGTCTCTGATAACCGAATCTCAGAAGTGATGTATCATCATTCTGTTGTATTTTATCTTTTCACACGGACCAGCCCTGATACTGTACGGAAGAAGAGAAGGCCACTTTGACCGACCATGGAGGCTGGTTAGCTCTGGGCAGTTCTTCCCAAGCCTCGCTGGGGGTCAGAATTACTTTGAAAGGGAAGCTAGCAGGGCTTCACTCCAGACCCACTGAGTTGGAATCGCATGCTGTGGGACCTGGAGGAGATTTGTTTCAAGCTCCTCAGATGATAGTTTTGCTAACCTGACACGGAAGCCAACAAGTGGAGATGGCATGTGGGCTGCGGGCTTTCTTCTACGGTCACAGCTAGAATTTTTCAGTTAAATGTTTCACTGTGCACTTAGTGGAAGTGTCCACAGCAACTTAGGGTTCCGTGGAGCAATTTCCAAACATATTACTTAGCAACCTGGTTACATGTTTTGCAGGTGTCAGCCTACTCGTGATTTCTGTTCTGTTTCCATGAATTTAGCTTCCCTGCAACATCCTGACCTCATTTTTGCCTTAGAGTGTATCATGACTGAGGTCTCATATAAATGATGAGTTCTAATAGTTTTATTGACATGTAATCCATATACCATGCAGTTCCAGGGTTAAATATCTTAAAAAGAGTTATGCCATCATCACCATAATCAGTTTGAGAGCATTTTCTTCATTCTTGTGCACCCATTATTATTAGCTCCCCATTAGCCCCCAACCTCCCTGCCGCAACTCTAAGGAACTAAATTAGTCTAGTTGCTATCTTTATGGGTCACCTATCCTAGATGTCATAGACAGAAAATTATACGACAACAAAATAAAACACAGACAAACCTCCATCCAAAAGAAAGCAGATAATAGAAACTAGAACACATGAAAAATAAGTCAAAATAGAAAACAAATGATAATCTGTTGAATTTTAACCTAAATGTATCGGCAGCAATCCATTTTCCAATGCGCTGTCCGAGAGCAAGACTGTTCACATCCTTAGTCAGTGGTCTGCCGTAGTTCAATGGAGGCGTATTCTGAGTAGAGCCTCTGCACATGGATTTGGGCTTTCACTGTCATCCGTACCCTTCTATAAACTGCGTGCTCTGAATGTAAGCTCTAATACAATTCCTTCCTCTGACCTTGCATCTTATTATTTACAGTCCTTGGATCACATGGACTGGTGTGCACCGTCTGTGTGGATTTAGCTGACACCTCATTTAGATAGCTGCTCATTTGAAGACAAGCCTTTAAGACCCCAGATGCTGTTCTTTCTGATAGCCAGGCACCACCTGACTTCTTCACCGCACTTTGCTATCGCACTCATATGATCACTTCTTGAGAAAAGTATTGAGCGGGGCCAAAATATATAGCTGATGGTGTCTGTACACTATTGTTGTTGCTTTGTGGGTTTAAAAAATTTTTTTTCTGTTGCACAAAACCTCTTTATTTTTATTTTTAAAATCATTTTATTGGGTCTCATACAACTCTTATCATAATCCATACATACATCAATTGTGTAAAGCATACTTATACATTTGTTGCCCTCATCATTCTCAAAATTCGCTTTACATTTGGGTTCCTGGAATCAGCACCTCATTTTCCTTCCCCCCCTTCCCATTCCCCCCTCCCTCATGACCCCTTAATAATTTATAAATTATTATTTTATCTTATCTTACACTGCCCGGCATTTCCCTTCACCCACTTTTCTGTTGCCCATCCCCCAGGGAAGAGGTTATATGTAGATCCTTGCAATCGGTTCCCCCTTTCTACCCCCACTTCCCTCCCGGTATCGCCACTCTCACCACTGGTCCTGAGGGGTTCATCTGTCCTGGATTCCCTGTGTTTCCAGTTCCCATCTGTACCGCTGTGCATCCTCTGGTCTAACCAGGTTTGCAAGGTAGAATTGGGATCATGATCGTTGTGGGGAGGAAGCGTTTAAGAACTAGAGGAAGGTTGTGAGTTTCATTATTGCTACACTGAACCCTGAGTGACTCATTTCCTCCCCACTAGCCCTCTGCAAGGGATGTCCAGTTGTCTACAGATGGGCATTGGGTCCCCATCACACGCTCCCCTCATTAAAAGGAGCACAGTATTCATAGATGTTATTATTTATTTTATGAGACAGTCTGCTATTTCACCACAAGTTGACCTCAGTTTAAAGCCACAGGGCAAAAATCTGAGTCCCTTCTAATCTCTGCCAGCTCAGTAAATCTATCTTTAAAAATAATAATAATTTGAGTTTTGTTCTGCAATATTTGCCCCCATTCTATCAGAGACCTTCTGTTGGACCCTGTATAGGGGTGGCCCAGCACCATCTAGTTCTTTCGGTCTCAGGAGAGATGGACTCATGGTTTGCTTAGACAATTGGTTCCGCAACTAGTTTCTTCTTTAAATCTTTGGCTTACTTCTTTCTCTTTTGCTCCAGGTGAGTAGAGACCAATAGTTGTATCTTAGATACTACTCAGCAGCTTTTATGACCTCAGACACCACTTACCAAACTAGGATGTAGAACATAAACATCATGGTCTATTTTCTAGCAATTGACTGAGTGGTCGCAGGAGACCACGGCCTTCAAACCAAGTCTGTCAATCTTGCAATGTGATCGGTCCTACCTGGGAAGTACCTGTGACCATGCCTCCCTGTCCTCTTTATTTTATATGTATGAATGTATATGCAGCAACACAAACATGTACATGCATATGTGTACACATTATATGCATGTGGATATATGCACACATGTACCTTCCTAGAAGGAGCCCTGGTGATGTAGTGGTTATGCATTGGGTTACTACTGCAAGGTCAGCAGTTTGAAACCACTAGCTGCTCCATAGGAGAAAGACGGGGTGTTCCACTCCGTAAAGGGGTGCAGTCTTGGAAACTCACAGAGGCAATTCTCCTGTCCCACAGGGACACCAGGAGTTGGCATTGATGTAGAACTACCTATGGAACCACTCACTTCTTTTGGTTGTTACTGCTGAATTGTATACATTACAGTATTGGAGCCTTTATTAATAATGTCCCTGATTCTTGTGTACATATTGTGTCATCATTAACTGTAGTCAAGATTTCACTCACCTTTGGTCAATCCTTTTGCATCACCAACATAGCAAATGTCTACTCTTTAAAGAGTTATCCCCCTCCCACCCTTGAGAAGCACCAAAGAATGTTGATCTCTGTTTTGTCTTTTTACAAAAGAGATCATACAATACTTTCCCTTTTTTTATTGACTTAATCAGAATGATGGCCATGCTGTTTGGTGAATTCATCATTCGTCTTTTTATTAAAAACAGATAGTTTTATTGGCATATAATTCACAAGTCATACAATTCATTATTCTTCATAGATATGTACTATTTCATTTTATACTACAAAAGGGCTTCAAAAATATGTGAGAAACAGTATTAAAAAAATAATGGAAATGTTCTGTGAACCTTTTGGAAGCCCCCCGTGTTGCAACATTTTATTTATCCATTCATTTGCTGCTGGGCACTGAGGTGTTCCCATCTTTTTACTATCACGTGTGATGCTGTAGTGGACGAGGTGTGCATATGTGTTCTGTGTGTCACTACCATTCGGTCTCTGAGATGTAGAGATAAGAGCATGATTGATGGATTATAATACATTTCTATTTGTAGCTTTGTGAGGAAACATTATATGGTTTTCCATAGAGGCTGTGTCATTCTACAATCCCATCAGCAGGGGATAAAGGGTTCCAATCTCCCCACAACCTTGCCAGCACCGTTGTCTTCTGTGTCTTTGTTTTTGAATCAGTGACAGTTTTGCAGAGGTGAGGTTTTTGACTGTACAGAGGTTTCGCTGTAGTTTTGACTCGCTGCTCTCTAATGGCTAACGATCACCTGCTTCTGTGCATGTGTGTGTTGGCTGCGTGAATACACCGCTTGGTGAAGTGTCTCTTTATGTGCTTTGCCCATTTGAAAAGATTGGCTTGTTTGCCTTTTTGCTGTTGAGCTATTGGAGTTTTCTCTATGGGAATATTTTAGAGGTTAGGCCCTTCAAAGATATTCCGTTCCCTAAGATTTGTCCCCCCAGCTTACAAGCTCTCCTTTTATTCTTTACGGCTACATTTTGGACTGAGCTTTCCAAGGAGCAGTTCATTCTAACAACCACGTTAACCAAGTTTCATTGCCCAGCTCAAAAGATGCCCTATTGTTGTACCTAGACTCGGGTCTTTGCACTTTGCTCTTAGTGACTCCCACTGTCTTACGCTTTTCTCATGCGTGTTCCTAAAGTA